ACACACACACACACACACACACACACCAGTAGTTGGAATATGAATTGATCTGTGTGTGTGTGTCTTTATATATATATATTTATATCTATTTATATTTCTCCGTCTGTCACAGCAGCAGTGTTAACGCTCTGACCCAGACCCACAAACACACACACAGTCCTGGCAGCAGCGGCGTTTCATCTGAACGCTAAATGTTAGCTCAGCTATAATACATTCATTGTCAGTTGTTTAGCATGGATTTAGCCTAAAACCCTGTCATTGTCGTTGCTATTGTGGCTGGAAGTCGCTGTGAGGCGAAGCCGGGCCTATTGTTCAGCCAAGGTCAGTCCGATTGTTCCAGAGGTCACGCATTGGGAATATTCAGGCATCACTGATGTCCAACGTTGGGAGGCGAAGAAGGAAATTTGTAGAAACATCATCAGAGTCAATGAGTCCAGATGATGACTTTGTCTTTTCACAGACGGACGACATGGGTCCATCAACCTTTATTATTATTATTTTATTTTAATTTCTTAACTGAATCTGAATTAGTTTTAGCCTGAAAATGAACGGTTCAGCCGTTCACTTGTTTGTCAACATGATTCTCTATAACCGAGCTGAACAACGTCCATCTCCACCGCCAACATCAGTCCACCCTCCCCCCATTTTCAGTGACCCCGTCTTCCTCCTCCCAAACGTATACGTACACTCATAAATATACATGCACACACACACACACACATATAGAAATATATATGCAGTCTGGTCCCGCCTGCTGCCTCTGTCGCGTCACATCGACCGGGGGGCTGGAACCCTGCACCTTGGCCTTTAAACCTTAACCTGTGACCTCTGTTGTCTGCGTCTGTATGGGCTTTGTGTGTGTGTGTGTGTGATTCTGTTATGTCTGTGTGTATTTTCCAGGGGACATAAGGCAGCTGCTGGTCTGGATCCAACAGAACCTGCTGAAGGAGCGCCCTGAACTCTTTATCCAAGGAGACACCGTGTGAGTGTTTCAGTGTGTGTTAGTGTGTGTTAGAGAGAGAGAGGGCGTGCGTATGTGCACTTGATACACACTTGACAAACATATCCCAACGGTAAAGACTAAATGTTTTTCACTCAGAAGTCTAGAATGTTTTCACCAGTTTTGAATGAACTTGAGGAGAACTCCTGAACTCCTTGAATCTCCTTGAATTTTATGCTTTGTTTAACGGTTTAAGTAAAAACCCTGAATATTAGGAGTGAAGTTGACAGTATTTATATTACCACATAGTTTTGTTTGGTAGGTGAAAAGTTAGTTCAAAGATAAACAAAGTATATTTTGACCAAGCAAGTGTTAGCAAATTAAGCAAAATTAGCCCCGCGATAGCTACAATTTTAGTCAGTAACTGAACAGTCAAGAAAGGCTACAATTTAGAGATGAATGTTGAAAATGTAGCCAATGTTTTGCCCCAAATTAACTAAAGGGGATTAAAAAAAATAGCCAAAATAGCTAACATTTGACCTAAAAGAGCTAAGAAGCTAAGATACCAGAAATGACCAAAATTAGCCAAATGTGAACGTGTCGCACAGAAAGCTAAGGGTTAGCCCAAATATAGAAACAAAGCACCTTCCAGGAAAAGGCAAACGGTTCAGAAAAGGCTGGAGGTCAAAGGTGAATCGAACCCACGACTGGTCATTTCACTGATGAAAACGCTGAGAAGGAAACGAGGACCACAAATGTACCTGAGCATGTGTATGTGTGTGTATCCATACGCGTGTGAGACACATATATGTACGTGTATGTGTGTGTGTTTGGGTCCAGGACACAGTGGTGTGTGACTTTTACTGCTGCCTTTGTTCAACACTATTTATAGCTGCAGAGAACCAGTGAAAAAGAGGCTACCTATAAACCTTTAGATGAGGTGTGTGTGTGTGTGTGTGTTTTTAAATTCAAACTTCATCTTTTTTCTATATTGTCTATAAGAAAAAAATGTTTTTTTCTGTGATTGATTCACGTTACATCCTTCTCTCCTCTGTCGCTCTGTGTCCTCACTGTGTGTGTGTGTGCTCTCTTTCTTTCTTTCTTTCTCTCTCTCTCTCTCTCTCCCTCCGTCCCTCCCTCCCTGACATCACAGCACCTGTAAAAGGTGTAGACGAGTAGGTTTGAACCACAGACAGAGCCGCAGCATCTGTGGGAGCCTCGTCTCGTCCTCCACACTGTAGCTAAACAAAAAATAAACACACAAACACGTGCACGTGTGTGAGACGACTGCAGTGAGAGGGGCCTGTTGTTACCCTCCCCCATTACCCTCATTACCCTCATTTGAAGGGTGGTGATTTTTTTAGGCTACCTCAGTATGATAATTTTAGGCTCTCATTAATTTGTAGTGACAGCTTCATTTTTTTTTTTACCCCTAAACGTGGTCAGTTTTAAAGAATGGAGAATGATGTTGAATAGTGAACGTGACAAAAAAAAAAAAAAAAGAGAGAGAGAGAGACATGTATGGAAAAGGTTTGTCCTTTACACTTGGTTTCCTTCCTTTCTGAAATTTGGCAACACTCCCACTGTACACCAGGGGCAGTAATTAACAAAGGCTTGGCCTCAATGATGGGCCTCATCAAAGATTATAACAAACATTGGACATATACTAGCAAAATAGAGACAATAGCCATAGCATTTAGAAATGAGGTAAATGGCTAAGCAATATAGCCAAAAGTAAAAAGTAAATGTTAATATGTTAACATAGTAAAGGACATTTGAAGCAGCTAGCTTAAGCCCAAATTAGCCAATAGGTAGCCAAAGCGATAGATGTTGCAAAAAGTCAGCACAAAAAAGAGAAAAGATTAGCCAAAAGAGCTAAAAGCGTGCAAAAATAATAGGTAAAATCTAGATTGACACATAGCTTATGGCTAGCTCAAAAAAAGAAACGATAGTTGGGGCAAAATTAGGATAGAAGATATATAACGGTTAGCTCAGAATTGGCACAAATATGATTGATTACCTTATATTTCAGTATTTAAAGCTAACCCAGACACAGCTATTACTGCCTAAAAAATACGATTATTGCAAATGAACTGTTGAAACGACCGACAAAAAGCTAAAACTTAGCCAAGAAATTGGTCAAAGGTATCCTGATGCTAACAAAAACTGCATAATAACTGTGCCTTATAGCCAATTAAAAAAGCAAAAAGTTAGCCCAAAAATGGTTATCACAAATAGACAAGACAATAGGCAGGATAGCATAATGTTAGCCTAGAAAGCTAAGAGTGAGTCCTGAAACCTCTACTCACTGTGATAGCAGCACACGTGGGTTAATATTCCCCCAGTTTGTTGCCCCCGTAATGTATTTACACATACATCTGTGCCATTTGTGTTCATTCATTTCATGGTTTGATTCCATATAGTGATGTGTGTGTGTGCGTGTGCGTGTGTGTGTGCATCATTGCGTCCGTTCCCCTCTGTCCGTCTGTCAGGAAATTGCGTCTGACCCAAAATTGATGTGTTTTCCCACAGGAGACCTGGGATCCTGGTGCTTATCAATGATGCAGACTGGGAGCTGATGGTGAGCAGTCAGAGCCACGGTCATTGTCTGTCCAGAATACGTGCATGTGTGTGTGTGTGTGTGTGAGGCCAAATATAAATCAATATACTCTACACTGAAATATAAACAAAATCCAACTCCTTGGTCTTTGAGAATCAATGTAATCACACGGTACTCATTTCTAAACCATCTCCAACGTTGATGACCCTTTTAGGCCACCGTAGAAGGAAAACCTGGACAGAGATGATAAAACAGGCCAGAGTGTGTGTCTCTCTCTGTGTGTGTGTGTGTGTGTGTGTGTGTTCACTCACATTCGGTTCATTTTCTCTCACTCACTCCATGTTTCCCGTTGAAGACTCTTCTCTGTCCTTGGGGCCTCATAACTGCGCACACACACACACACACACACACACACATTTTTACTTGCACACACAGACATGAGGTTTGAATGCATTGATTCAATTACAGACCCTCCACACTGGGGGGATGTAAATGAAATGAAAAGTTTGTTATTACTCACAGCCCAAAGGGAGCAGTAGCAGCAGCAGCAGCAGCAGCAGCAGTAGAAGTATCATCAGCAGCAGCAATAATGCTCATATTTGTATTGGAAAACGCAGATATTTCCCCCTCCCACTGGTGCAGTATGTTTATATATCCATCCTCTCACGTGTGTGTGTGTGTGTGTGTGTGTGTGTTTTCCTGGTCCTCAGGGGCAGCTGGATTACCAACTGCAGGACGGAGACACGGTCGTGTTTATATCCACTCTCCACGGAGGCTAGAATGTGAGCGATGACGTTTCTGTAAGGGCTGCTCCAGGTTGCGGCGTCTTCACCTCCACGCACCAACGTCGACGGTCACGTGTCGACCTGCAGCGTGATGGCTGAAGTGGTGGGGTGTCAGACGGCAGATGAATGATGGGAAATTCAGGGACGAATGATGGACAGAATAGCGTCGTTGAGATGGTTCGTGGACATTTGTGTATGTCTTTTTCTTTTTTCTATTTTTTTATGGGTAAAAATTGGACAACAGATTGTGATGTACTGTAAATGATGACAGAGTGTGTGTGTGTGAGTGTGTGTAAACCCTCAAATAAACTCTCTTCCATCATATCTCTGCTTCTTACTATTGCACTACACAGCCTATACACTTGTGTGAATATTAAAGAGTACATGGTGTTGAGTCCACTCTGTTGTCCTGTCATCATTTGTACACCGATCGTTGGTTTCTTTTTTTATTTCAATACCAAAAATATCCCACATTCAAACACAAAATAATATTTTATTCAAACGATGAAAACATGATAAACAGCCAATTAAATATACATATTGTACAGTGTGGACTTGTTTATATTTGTACATTGGTCTTATTGTAGGTTGAAAAATATTTCTCCATCTTTACATGTAATGTTAGTTTTAGTTAAATATAAGATTTTTAATTTTATATATATTTTTATTATTTCACAGTAATGGCGTGTCTTTGGTTTTAACTTCTGTTTTTAATGTGATGAATAATTTTTTTCTTTATATTGATCATTTATATACATGTGTGTACATATATGTATATATGTGCATACATATACTGCATGCGTATAATGTACATACAGTATATACCATATTTATATAAATATTAAAAGTTACTTTATAATACAATATAATCAAACACATATTTGGTTTATATAAATATTTCTAATATATGTGTGTATTATTTGACATATTACTATATAACTTTTATTTTGTCGTGACGGTAATATTTTACAGGTTGCCTTACAAGATTGTAATAGGTAATTGCGATACAATGTTTATATTGGGTATAGAATACGATATTAATAATAGATTCGTCTCAATATATTCTACATTTGGTTTTACATTACAATGTGTTATTTTAGATACACAATTTATATTTTATTGGACGTGATAAGTGAGTAAATGTTATGAAATGTATTATAACGGTTTTAATATTTTATATGTAAACATATCAACGTTTACAATCCCTATATAATTCTGAATTTACGACACATTTACACCGAAATGCGTCATAACATTTATACAACTGAATATAAAAATGCAGGAATATTATATTTAATGTGTACGTTTGTACACATGAATGTATATTGACTTATTTATTGTATAAATGTTTTTCGCTCGCCGTATAAATTAGTTTTGTTTTTGTCTGTCAAATGAAAATCACCTGAAATATATGATACACGCAATAGTTTCACTTTACGCTATTACTTTGCAAACATTTGATTGTATTACTGTCTTTGGTCAAGTGTGTAAATGTCATTGATGACCTAACGAAACGATTGCGTCAGATCGGACCGATGTGACGTAATCATACTTCGGTACACGAGTCCCAACGAAATCACTGGTCACACTCCAGTTTTGGTCCAATTTACAAACAACATACGACGAATCAGATCATGGAATATTCATTAAGTACATGAGGAGGGGAGGAGGGGTGAGCGGGCAGTAGAGGAGCACACTGCGGGAGGTCGTGATGTAGCCTGGGGGCTGTCCTCGCCAGAGGGCCCGCAGCCCGGGGCCACCTCACAGCCTCACTCTGCCGTGGAGGGCGATTTACAACGGGAAACCTAGTGATAATGGAGCGGAGAAAGGACATGGAAATGAGGCTGAGAGTCTGTGTGTGTGTGTGTGTGTGTGTGTGTGTGTGTACGGGCGTGCATGTGCCACACTGATATACAGTGTGTATTCTCTGTATTTACTTTTTATCTATTTCCTACACTTTACTGCCCTTTTATTTCCGATCTTAACTTTTCCCAACAATTAACGGGTCATTTGATTCCAGAATAGATCAAATATTTAAAACATTCTAATCAAATATACATTTAATACATTTTATCAGGTCGCAAAATAAGAAAATTAAAAGACTTTATATAGATTTTTTTTCTTTATTTTAATGAAGTCAATTGTCTTTCCTAGGTTAATTCCCAGATTATTTTAGATTAGATTAAGGGATTAAGGTAGAAATCCACCTTTGCAGTATTTTTAATGTTATTAGAAAAATGAAAAATGATTTGTCTTTTACTGTAACCTCTGACATTTTAGCATTAATTAATAATATTCTGTTAACAATCAGACAATCTAATTTGTTTTTGAATAATTTCAGATTTTCTTTCTCTCGCGATCTCGGATTAAAGGAATCATCCAACTATTTTATCCATCACTAAAATACAGAAGTGACCACGAAATGACCTTTGTTGACTTGTCTGACTGTAAATTAAAGTCACAATAGAAACTTAAAACTTAAAACTTTATTATTGATGTTTAATTATTTAAAACACAACATTCATACATTCTATGGGCTGTATCAGTGCCAAAAATAAAATAATCAACACGTGACCACTTGAAGTATATTGTAAAAAGAAAATCACATTCATAAAACACAGTAACATTTCAACCTTTGGCTAAATATGATATATATTCTGTTTATAATGAACGACTTCCTGAACCTCCCAAACCTGGAATTCTCCACAGGCAAAGCTTCAAATTGACCCTGACCTACTATATGGGCTGGTACTGCTACTGGAGCTGTTAATGGTCCCAGTGCTAACCCCTGAACTGATTGGTCTTTCTGTGGAAATATAGAATATTCTTAAAAAAAAAAAAAAAAACCTCCATCGTTGTTTTTCGTTTTCTGAACCTTGATGTTTCCTTTACACTGATGTTATTTGCAATTCATTTGCCTTTTTTCTTGTCAGACAATAATCTAAAATTAATTACTAATATATTTACTATTAATAATACTAATAATTATTAATTACAATGCTAGTTTTTAAAAAAAACTAGCATTGGGTTGTAAATTTCAAAAATATCAAAACATCAAATTATTAAATGTAAAAAATATCAAGAGATTTTTTGTATTTCAAGTTAAATATAACTGCAGATTAATCTAAGATATAATTTATTATTTATTTATTTATTATAAGCATTTATAGAGATTTGTGCAAAACATGGTCAAACACATGCTGTAAAAATACTTTACGTCTAATATAGTATTAAAAGCATGAACCAGGAAAGACTTTTTTATAGTTACATAAATGTGGAGTTCACCCAGTTCTGCTGGGCACGAATATCTTCACACAAGAGCAAACATGACGCTCTAATCCCCTGGAATTAACAAGGTTTATCCCATAAACACACACACACACACACACACACACATTGTGTGAACGTGAGTGAATGTTTTATATTGAAATAATCTGTGTATTTAAGAGTAGGAACAAACAAAAGACTTTTGCACTGTTTATAAATGTAAATAAAATCCAATAAAGAGGTGTTTACTTTTAAATAACTAATTTTCCTCAAAACGTTTTTTGCCTAAAAAATAAGAATTATTTATGTGTTAGTAGTTTTTTAATTTACATTTTAATTTGTCTTTCTCCAATAAAAGTAACAAGGTGAACGAACAGAGAGAACTCGTTGAATCTGACATCACAAAGACTTCTCTTCACCGTATAAAATGAGTCTGATTTAAAGGCTGAGCTGTTTACTTTTTAAATACATTTAACCTACACGGTATTTAACTTTGTATTTCAATTACTATTTTAATAAATTCAATTATTAAAGATAAATACAGACTACATTTCAAACGACATAAAACCATACAGTTGATATTTACGGCCTGCGAATCTGCTGTAACAAAATAAATGAAGAACCCAGATACATTTATATACGTTGGATCAATTTCCGGTGGCTCTTCCTGCTTCATCCTGACTCCTCTTTGCTAACGACAGAAACTAATTCGTGTGTGGTTTTTTCCCCCTCATCTGCGCTGCTGCATGTGAAGACTCAGCTTTTACCGAACACAGTCGATACATCGACACACCGCCAGTCAATACGTGCCATTTAAAACAAACAGTCTTCATTAGATCTTCGACTAAACGTAAGTACCAATCGGTGAGAGAGCTAAAAGAATTAAAACACACACACCACGCACGCACACCCACACACACACACAGGAGGCAGAGTTTTTTTTTTCAGTTTCCCTTCATTTTTTATTAGCCCGTCATGCTAATGAACGACGTCATCTTACCTGTGACCGTAACAGAGCACAGGCAGGACATTAGAGTCTGGTCTTTGAGTCTTTCTGCTCAGGTTCTGGTCTGGTTTGGTTTGGGGGGGGGTGTGGAGGCCCCATGTGCATGTGGCGCTCGGCCAAAGCAAACACACACACACACACACACACACACACACGAAGAGAGAGAGAGTGATGAATGTGAGTCTGCAGCAACAGATGTCCATACACAATTCTTGGGGGTTTAATCTGGGTTTACTCAAGAATTGCGTTTGGACAATCAACCGCTAGAGACTCTGAGGACACTTCCGGGACGGAGGAGTCACACACGGACCGCCGGGGGACGCGGGTTCCCTCCCCAGGCCTTGGGCTGCAGGCACCTGCGACTGATGCACTAAACGGTCCCTAAACAGTTCCGCCTGTGTGTGACCCTGGGAACAGTTGCTCTTTCTTCTCCGAGGCCTGAGAGCTGCCACAGCGGGCGTCATTTCTGACACACTCCCCGGTCAGCAGCTAATCCTGGAGCGGGTTTTATCTTTGGAAGAAGAAGAAGAAGAAATGGTTCTTCTTCACCAAAGCTCAACAGCCAATCATTTTGATTTGAAAATAGACTGTGAATCCACTTTTAGCTCCAAAAACTCAAGACGACTCACTTTATATTCAACTTCTTCACCGAATTGAGAGAAAAAAGTTGTTACTTCTCCCTTTAGAAGCTGGCGCATTCAAGTTAAAGAAATGGCCAACGAATACTCGATTAATCAGTCAACAGCAATTTTAACAGTCGACTTAAAGAAACTTTTGTAGCTTCTTAAAAACGACTACGACGTTTAACGGAGTATCTTTGGAGATAGTGTACGTCTACATGTATAGATATATAAGGTGAGAAACCCGTAAGAACACAACCACGGTGTAACCTCGACTATTGTCAGGCTGATCAACCAATGGAAGCAGAGTGGTCTACAGAATAAAGCCACGTCGGTAGTCGTCTAAAGTTGACCCATCTGCAGACAAACCTCTGCGGGCCTTAAGATGGCTGAATGTAAAAATGTCATCTCCTCCGTGCCTCCGCCGCGGCCTTTCTTTTTTCTGCAAGTGTGTCAGAAATGCATTACAACACACGCGCGCGCGGATCGAACGGAACCAAAGTCGACTTTCTTTCATTTGAAAAGAAAAGTCCAAAAAAAAAACCAACAACCCAAAACGCCATTTCTGCACCTGCAGTTCTGCTCAGGACGCACGGTGCGCCCGGAGAAATCCCTGCAAAATACCTGGAAGACCAGCGTTGTTCTCTGGAGATGATTACAGAAAGAAAATACACAGGGGAAAAAAAGAAAAAGGAAACCCGTTAGTTCCCAACGGATCGGAGCGTCCTTGGTCCGTTTCCCCCTGAGGAGAAACCTCCGTGTCGGTGTGGATTTGTCCAAATGCCCCCGAGCGGAGGATGGAGAGCAGGGAAGGAAAAGAGGACGGAGGACGGAGGAGGATCTCCTGTCTTCTCTTGCATCCTTCCTTGCCGACTCCTTCTGACCGACTGACTGACCGATCGACTGGACGCCTCTTCTCCTCCACCTCCCTTTTGACGCTGCTCCCAACAATGAAGGACGCGTCCGCGACGCAAGGCGGAGTGAGGAGTGAGGAGTGGAGAGGCTCCTCGCTTGGTACAGAATTTGAATAACACCACGGGGTGATAAATGTCCATTGTACTGCTTAAGTAATGAATCTCCGCTGTCCTCTCTCGCGCGCGCGCACACGCACACACACATAGGCGCGCATATAGACGCGCGCACACGCACGCCAGCAGCTGCGTTCAGGGACCAGCAGCAGCAGCAGCGGCCTCTCTTCTTAAAGACACAACAGCCCTGTTTTCTAAACAGAGATGACAATCCGGACACTGTTGACTCTCCATGACGTGTGGTGTTTCTCTTGTGACACACACTCTCTCCAGTGTGTGTGTCTGCGTGTGTGTGTGTGTGAGAGAGAGAGTGAGATCAAACTAGTGCAAAGCCGTGACCAGGCACTCAGACATAAAGCGGTGCCTTCTGCACCATGTGCAGCCATTCTACGTCAGTGCAGCTCCACTGTATGGGCCACAGTGTGTGACCCCGAGGTGACGGAGGAGCCCAGGATGGTCATCGTCATCACGTGACGGTCCAGCACAGACACACAGTTGTCTTTAACGTTCAATAACGACGCGTCTTTGATTCACGTACACACAAAACCAATGTCGTGACCAACAGAGAACAAGTGCAGTGAATCATTCACATAAAACTAAAGTCTGGTCCGGGGACCAACCGTGGCACGTTGACCCGTTCAGTATGGCCCAGATTTTTCTGTTTTCATAATCAAATCTTTTCCTGTGTTATTCTGTATCTACTGTAGATGAATTATTGACTCTAGATTGACCACAGGTGTGAATGTGAGTGTGAATGGTTGTTTGGATCTACGCGTGGCCCTCTGATGGTCTGGAGAACTTCTAGGTTCTTCTACACCCTCACTCTTGACTGCTAGGATTAGCTCCAACTGTTAAAGATGAACAGATAAGAAATAGTCTCTCTGTAGGTTGTGAACTTATTTCAACTTGGTATTTTTTTTGTCAAACTATTTCTGCCCAATGTATAACATCGCAACTATTCTTAAAGGAAATAACTTCAGGTTATTGTGGTGCTAGTTGTAGCCGTCGTCTACATTTACCTTCACATATATCGTCTGTGTTTAACATCTTTATTTTTCATGGACTATAAGATTGGTGTTTTTGTCGATTCTGCTGTGCTTTGCTGGTGTTTGCTGGGTTTTGCTAACTTTTAGCCCATTCTGAGCTATCAGAATTATTGAGTTTATATTTATGTATTTTTATATATGTTTATATGTATTTATATTGATATATTGAGTTTTTTCTCTCTAATTATTTAATTTTACTTTAAATTTTTGTTTGTTTTCCACTTAAATCTTATTTTCTCTCTAATTATTTAATTTTACTTGTGCTGTTTCTGGCATAATAAAAGTGTCTTCTGTATTTTTATATAACTTTTATTTCAAGTAAGTTTAGACTTCCAATATATATATATATACTGTGTATATTGGTGATTTTATTTAGTCATTTAATTGACATGCAGATGTTTCAGGACTGTGAATCAGAGACCAGTTGTTTCATCAGCTTTCTAATCTGATTTTATTCTCATTAATGGACTTTGTAATTGGACTAATTTTGTAATGTGTGACAATTTTGAGGTTTTTGATAAAAATGCGTGCTTTTACTGCGGTCAATTTCTTCATACCATAACTCCACTCCCACAGTCCACACCTGAGATGGTCTAATCTCTGCTCCTGATACAAACCTGTGTCTATGGCCATTCTACTGCAGGTGTCCTTTTACACCATACATCAATTTAACTTCTCACCGTGCAGCTGTGATTGGAAATGTTAAGGTTAAGTCATTTAGCCCTCAACTGCGTCTGCTTGTGTAATGTAGACTATTATTAATGACATCATACCAAGAAAAAAAGTACAAGTGAAAAACAGAGGAGGTGAGAATCAAGAAGAGGGGTGGGGGGCAGAGAATGGGTAATGCTGTGGTCATGGGGGCCAAAGTACAGAACTTTACGAAATGAACAAAATTAAAACATTAACCTCTGTCAATATAGACATATAGAGAGTCTAATAAGTAAGCTAATAGTAGTTTAGAAAAGCCTTAAGCTAGCAAGAAAAAGGACCAATCATGGCATGAATAAAACCAAAACATCTTTTACTGCAACTAAATACAGAACAGATCTTATGTATATACTGTATCTCTTATATATCAATGACAGTAAAGATTGGCTGGAAAGATGGTTAAAGGTTAAACAATATGTGGCAAACAATAAGACTTAAACCAGCCAAAGTCTTAAAATATAGCAAAAATACTAAGAGTTAGCCAAAATGACAATTTGAAACTAGACTAAAAATATGTGAAGTAAACCAAAAAAATAAATACCTCATTTGATACCTGATATGATTTCAGTTATTTTAACATTAAATGCAAGATCATATTAAAGTACAAACTAAATTCATAAAAGTTATACAAAATTTAAAGGTTAGTTAGCCTTAAGATACTTTATTTTTTACCAATATCTTCTTTCATTTTCTCATATATTTCCTCCTTTCCTTTGCAAGGAAAAGAAAAATAGAATTAGCTATAGATGTACCCAAAAGACAGCCTAGAGTTAGATAAATGTTAGCCAAGGTAGGAGCTTAAAGGTCGCCAAAAAAAATAAAAAAATAAATAGTTTAAAAAAAGTTTGAGGGTAGCAATGAAAAGACAGAAAGAAACATTTGAGTTGAAAAAAAAAACTATAAAAAACATTAAAATGAATGTTTGCCAAATGGGACGCAAAGATGTAACACAGTCGTATTTAAATGTTAACATAAAAACATCCAAATATTGTAGAAAACTATACAAAGACCCCTTAGGAAACATATTGTTTTCACAATACAATACAGAGTTTGATTTTAGGAGCAAAATAAGGAGAGAATAAGTACCACAATGGGACCACAGGCCACAGTTTGGAGTATATTAACGCATTTGTTCGTTAATTAGTTAATCAGTTTCCTGCTGCTCAACCCTTTGCTGAGCTGCTGCTGCTGGACAAAATGAAACAAAGTCTATGGGACAGAGGACTCTGTAACTGTCTGAGAGGATTTCCGTCTGATGTTCATGGTTTAAAGGGTTTTAGAAGCGTTTTCTGTGACGTTAAAGAAAAGCTTAGAATGAGTCTGGGGTCTGATCCCACTCCCACACTGTAAACAGAACTGTGGATCAAACCCCATCCCCACATCTTCTACATCAGCACTAGTCAGTGCTGCGTTAGCGCTGCAGCTTTTTGATGCTCACC